GATCTGAGGGGATGAGTCAAGTCTAGTGCTTGGAAGCAACTAAACTATATCCAAAGTGTATGCAAATGACTGTACACAACCTTCATACAGATCAGACCTCTCCTTCCCAAGCAACTCAAATCTTTCCCTAAACTGCATCTTCCAACAAACTCCTTTATGAAAAGGTTTGCTTTCTGGTCAGCATGCTATGGTAACAAATGATTATCTGTACAACTTGGCATGATGAGGTTAAACAGACCATGTTAAGAACAAAAGGCAATTTAGAGGGAGAAATGTTTTAGTTACACAGGAAAATTTCATTTGAGGAATAGTTTTTAAAAAGGTAGTTTGCATCTTACTAAGTTCTGTGGTCAGCCATTCACTAAGACCTGAGTTACTGAGTTGGCAACAGAGCACGTGACATGCCACAGGTAGCACAGCCAGTTGCCTCTTGTCTGTCCTGAAGCACTGGGGCAGCTTGCCCTGCGGCAGCCAGCGGGAGTCTAGACACTGGCTGGACATAAGCGCAGTCAGAACATGATGGAATTCATACTATTTATTCTCTGAGATGCTGTTAACTGGATTTTTTTTTTTTTCTTTTCTTGATTTGGGTAGGTTTCTCTTGTCAATCTACGCATTGACTGTGACTCTTAGATTACAACAACTGGAACAAGGTGATTCCTTTTAAATCCTCTCCTGAGGAAAGCAGCATTCCTTTCTGTCATTCAATGAAAGTGAAGTGTCAGCAGGTAACTTCTGATTCATTTGAAGCAGAAGCTTAGATTACTTATTAAAGGGCATTAGCATACATTCAAGAATATTGTTCCATTTTTAGTGACATAATAACTTGTTCTACAGACTAAATGGTGTGTGGACTCTGAAATGGGAGATTGAGTATTGGTTAGGAAACTAAAAAAGACTGTCCCCAAAGTTTAACTCCAGTACAGTACTCCTCACACCACCACTTTCCACAGCTTAGGTGTGTATTAGGTGAGATGCAAAAAGGCTAGTGCTAATTGTGCCCTCATTCTATCATTCCACCTAGCTCAATTTTCTGCGAAGACCTCAATACTTATGCACCATAAGAAGCGCAGTTTCAACAGACAAAGTATATGTTATTGTTGCTTCCATGTAGTATCTGCTCTGCGGTTTGAGTACAGAGGCAAACACTGTCTGTTTAAACAATCACCACTCCTGTGCTCCTTTCAGCCCTTTGCTTTTTTGTGGAAGAACTAGACCTTGTAAATGAGTACACACTATTCTTCTCAGCTATCTTAAGGATTTCCCTTTGATAAAAGTGCATCCTGGACTGTTATATGAGAGAAAGTAAATCACTCTTCAAGTGAGCAAGAAGGGAAACATCTGTTCTGCTTATAAACTAAAAATGCTATCACACTTTTTTATTAGACAATTAAAAACTGATTTTTGAAGTGTAATTGAAAAAAATTGGAGTGAAAATGAGATTCTATCATTTCAAATCAATATTAAATAGAAATATAGGTTTGAATTTGAAAGGATTTTGGACCCTTGTCTTCTAAGGAACATAAAAGGGAGGCAGGAAAAACATGAAGCCAGAGCCTTAGGTTCAAACTGACAGTCATTTAAATATTAAATTATAGTATGTGTAACAGTAATGACAGGACCCCCCAAAACTTAAAACTTTTATCCCTTTCTATGATAAATGAAAGAAGAGGGGCAGGTGAGTAATGGGATGTATATCACACATATATATCGAGAGAGAGAGAGAGAGAGAGAGAGAGAGAGAGAGAGAGAGAGAAGATATGAAGGAAAGAGAAGACAAAACCATTATATGCCTGAGTTAACTGGATCAAAATGAATTATACATACTAGAACACTTCCTACTAAAATACCTCCTCCTAACTTTTATTTTTATCATGAATACTCCAACTCAGAACACTATCTATTGGTTTGGCCACATGAAGCTATCAATATTTATCATTTTCATTGTACAAAATTTCATGGGGCTGGGGAGATGACTCAGTGGTTAAGAGCACTGACTGCTTTTGCAGAGGACCCAAGTTCGATTCCCAGCACCCACACGGCAGCTACAAACCATCTTTAACTCCAGTTCCAGGGGACTATGAAACCCTCTTCTGACCTCCGTGGCATTGCACGATATGGGTGTACTCACATACATTCAGGCAATACACTCATACACATAAAATAAAAAAAAGTATTAAAAAAATAGTGATTTCATATGGGTCAACTAAATATAGCCCTCCTACTAAAATATTTTTTTGTTTCAGATATAGGGAGAGTAGATCTATAAATGAACTATATGTGCAAGTCATTTGACCACAGCTCTGCCCTAAGAGTTATTTCTAAAGCAGTATCGTTTGGGTAATCTTTCTGTAAGATCTTAATGTCCTGTGTTGTAATATGATACTTCTCTTGATTCACAAAATGATTTTAAACATTCATTAAGTTGCCATTAAAGATCCCATCTCGGGAACAGCAGTAGGAAGGAAGGGGGAAAAAAGAAAAGGAAGCTAATTTGCTTAACTCTCATTTTTGTGTAAGGGCTAAGTACTAGTCAATTATATATTTTCCCTTTTAATAATTAAAATAACCTTGACAAGTAATTAATTTCATTGTAGAAAGAAAAAGAAGTGGAGTGTCAGGTGAGTTGCGGTTTAGTAGAAAATAATACACATTGTGATTTGATTCCAAAATGCACTACACTGATTGTTCTATAGGAAGAGCTGAGCCTGGTGCTCCATCAGTGTTTACACTTCCAGGGACATTTGGAACAGCACTCACCTAAAGCAAATACACTGGAGGAGCTGGTATTGCTGCGAAATGCTTAGTGTTCCCAAAAGACCATAAAATATTTAAAACACTGCTCCATGAAATTGTACTTACAAAACAAATTCATACTGGCTTGACTATTTATTTATGTCACCTCATAGACCAAGAAGTGTTGAAGTCAGGGTGAACTATGCCAAACAATGACACAAAAGAGATCAGTGATACAACGATCAATTTCACCAATAATGAAGGCAACATATTAGCAATTGCCACAGAAAATATAACTGTAATGCTATTTTAATGGTCAAATAACTTTTAAGTGTTATAAAGCCCACACAGAATGGCTAAGGTGGTTTGGGATAAAATAAGGCTGACAGTGAAAGTCAATGAAGCAAAGGGTGTAACACAACAGAAGAGCAGGACAAGGCTCGCAGGGTGATTCAGTCCGGCAGTTAAAAACTGAGGTATGTGTACAGGTCAGTATCATAGGTCATTCTAATACTGGAGTAAAAGGAAAACTTTAAAATAATTCTCAGGGAAAAAACAGAAACTAAACAGGGCTGATGTGATAGCTCAGTGGTTAAGAGCACTAACTACTCTTGTAGAGGACCTGGGTTCGGTTCTGAACACCCACATGGCAGCTAACAACTGTCCATAACTCCAGCTATAGGGGATTTGACACCCTCTTCTGGCCTCTGTGTGTTTGCACAAACATGGTACACATACATGCAGGCAAACCACTCAAACACAACAATAAAATAAATAAATTTAACAAACATACCCCAAATGAAATTAAACAAAGATTTAACTACTGGTGTAAATGGCCCTCTATTTGGAAAAGGAGGATGCTCTGCCAAAGAGACAGTAAAAGGAAGAGCATCTGTGACTGTGTGAAATCGTCTTCTACTGAGGCTGACGTGACTGGAGAAGAATACTGCTAGATCTTTATTTTATGAAAACACACAGAGCATTAATGACAATTGTATTCCAATATTCAAGGATAGTAGATAGCTCTTCTTGTCTTTTTTGTTTGTTTTTTTTTAGAGACAGGGTCTCCCTGTAGACCCAGCTAGCATGGTACTCCTCACCATGCAGAGCAGGCTGGCCTTAATCTCACAGAGATCTACCTGCCTCTGCCTCCCAAGTGCTGGGTTTAAAAGCGTGTGTCACCTTGCCCTGCCTTCTTGCCTTTTTTTGAGGGTGGGGGGTAGGGTCTGCTATGTTAAAAAAATTAACCTGAACTCTCACCTATCTGTGATTCCACTGTCACTGACATTTTGTATCTTCAAGCCTGTTTCCCATCATGCAGATAGGAAAAGGGGAGAGGTAGTGTCCTAATCATGCTAGCACAGTGGGATGCTGACTGACACAACCTGTAACTGACCCTAGGCACTTCAGTGCTATTCTCAAGCTACAATGAAGGGGAGAGACAGGGAAGCACAGAAAAAAGAAATAGGCAATTCTTACAAATATACAGAAGACAATCTTATCAACTCATATAAATACCTGTCACTGCTCAAAAATTAGACTATAATATATACTAAAACTTCATGGAAAAGAATGTTTTTATATGTTTAAATAGAACTTACGGATCATATCATATTATCACCACTATGAGGAGCAAGTTTAAGAAGTGCAGTTCTGAGCTTGGCGTGGTGGTGCACCCATTTAATCTCAGCACTTGGGAGGTAGAGGCAGGTGGATCTGTGAGTTCAAAGCCAGCCTGGTGTATATAGGGAGACCCTGTCTCAAAAAGAAAAACAAAAAGTGCAGTTTGAAAAAATATTTTGTGCATGTATGCGTGTGTAGGGTGTAGTCTATGTGGTATATGAGCATGTGCAGGCACCTGTTATGTGTTCAGAGGTCAGTGGAGAACAGTGGGTGTTGTCTGGTCTATAACTCACTGCCTCATTCCCTTAAGACTGAGCCTTTAACTGAGCCTGGAGCTTGGCTAGCAGCCAGCAAATCCCAGCAATCCTCTTCTCCCCTACTACTGGGGTTATAGTCGTTTGTGGCGATACCCCGCTTTCCAAGTGGAAGCCGTGCTCTTACCCACTGAGCCATTGCTCCAGCTCCTAAGTGCAGGCTTTTTCATGAAAATGGGACTTGGAGTGAAATGCAGACTTCTCACCTGTGCTGTGAGGCACTTCTGCTGGTGTGTTAGCTGGAGCGTGAGCACCTGGGGGGATCTGCACTCCAGTATAGCTGCCTGGAGGCAAGTTGCTGGGTTCATAATTTGAAGAGGCAGATGGCTGAGGTGGCTGCGTGGGCAGAGAAGTCGCTCCAACATCTTCATTTTCTTCAACATCTGTTACACAATACATATACAATGTTGAAATAGGCATTCTGAAATATAAATGCTAGGCATTCTTATTTTCCTATACTCCTGACAAAAGGAACCTACAAATACAATTCCACTCAATGCAGCTGATAAGCAGGCTGTATTTCTTTTTAAAAATTTTACTTTTATTTTATGTGTATGAGTGTTATGCCTGCATATATGTAAGAGCAACATGTGTGTGCCCGCGGAAGCCAGAAGGGGATGTTGGATCCCCTGGAACTGGGAAAGGAGTTATGGATGGTTGCTAACTGCCATGTGGGTGCTGGAAACTGAACCTAGGTCCTCTGCGAGAGCAGCCAGTGCTTTTAACTGCTGAGTCATCTCTCCAGATCCAAGCAGGCTGTTTCTTGAAAGAATTATTACGGTTTTCACAAAATATTTTGTGATGACGATTACCACTTCCTTTAGGACACTACCCATCAAGTCCGTAAATTCTTCACATATTTGCTTCTTTAAAACAAACTTTAAAATAAGTGAAAAATCAAGGCCATCTTGGGCAAAATCTGTCCCATTTGTGCTATCCGGAATGGACTGTTTTCACTGCAGCTGCTTACTATTCAGTATTTGTTACATACAGACTATTAAATGATTATCTATGTCTGCTGCCCAAAATTCAACAAAAAATAAAGGAAATAAAGGAATGCAGCTTTACAATTAGTTGTTGATGGAGTAACTGGTGATGTGATACTTTGATAAATTTTGAAAGGTAGACTTTAAAAAAATAAACTATACCATTAATCGACTTTGAAAACAAATGAGAAAATTAAATTGTGATACTCTGCTTAAGGAGACTATTAGCCACTTCTATAATAAAAGCAAACCGTATCTGCAAAGTTTTAAAAGAATAGATTTTGCTTTCTATCAATTTTTTGTCTTTTTTAAGCTATTGTGTCTGATTGTATTTTCAGTGCAAATAATTTTGAAGAAAATCAAATCTGCCTGTTACCCCAAGGCAAGGCATTTTTAAAGTAACTTTGTGAGTATGCATGCATTTTATATACACTGAACTCATTTTCCCCTATCCAGAACTCTGACATGTTCTGGGAAGGGCAAATACTTCCACTATTACAGGAATTAGAGACAGAGCAAGGGCTGGTAGAAACTAGAGTGAAGATATCTGCTGGGTTAGCACATTTCTCCAGGTAAAGCTTCTTTTATGTGGTATGGCACTCAAAAATCTATGCAAAAAAAAAAGCTGAGTGAGTCCTGAGTTGTTTGTACAAACTCCAAGTAGGTACCTGCATGTGCCTGAACTATGTATGCAGACTCCGCAAACACTCCAGTCATTCCTGGAGAAACCCACAGCTTAAGGGTGAAAGAAAGGCAAGTTAACTGTCAGTTACAACAAGAATCAGGACAACCACCACAAAGTGCAAATTAAAACTACTCTGAGATTCCATCTCATCCAGGCAGGATAGCTATCATCAAGAAATCAAATGACAACAAATGTTGGTAAAGATATGGGGAAAGAAGAACCTTTATTCACTGAAGGTGGGAGTGCGAACTGGTGAAGCCAGGATGGGAATCAGTATGGACGTTCTTCAAAAGGCTAAAAGCAGAACTACTATATGATCCAGCTATTTCCCCCTGGCACACACCCGAAGGACTCTGTATTTCACTCCTAAGATCCCCCCTGCTCCTCCTTGTTTATTGCCACTCTATTCACAGTAACTAGGAAATGGAATTAGCCTAGAAGTGCATCTGCATGAATGATTAATGAAAATGTGGCATGTATACCAAATGGAATTTTATTTAGCTGTAAAGAAAAATGAAATTATAAAATTTATGGATGAAACCAGGAAATATTACATTGAATGAGGTTACTCAGGCACAGAAAGACAAATGCTGCATGTTCTCTCTCACACATGGAACTTAGCAGCCACACTTCAGATTTCTGTATTTAACTTGGACTACCTGCAGAATCCAGCAAAGTAGAAGATGGCCACTGGCATGGAGCTGCATTAAGGAGGTAGGTGGGGGTGGATACAGAACACAGATGACATGAAAACAGAGATGGAGAATAGGGGTAGACAGTCTAAGCAAGGATGGAAGTGGTATGGGGAAGATAGACAGGGAGAGAGACTGACTCTGGAAGGGAGATCTCCTGCAGGGCTGGATAATGCTGTCCTTAAAGGTGATGGGTTATTATATATAACACAGATGTGTCAGATGTAGGATAACTCCTTATGAGCTGCTGGTGAAGGAGGCCTCAGAGGCCCCCAAAACAATGGATGATCTTGCTTACTTGTCTTGGTTGCCCACCCAGAACTAAATGAGAAGACTTTATTGTTTCAGACACTTTATATCTTGATTCCAAGAGAAATCAGCCTGGAAGTGAACTGGAAGATTTATCCCAAATGGTTAGCTGTCCTACTGCTGAAAGGTGCTCTGCAGGTTGCTGGGGGAGAAAAGGTGTCAAAGGCCTTATTTGACTATGAACACTGCAAACTACAATACCAATTCAACAGGCAAGATGTGCTCAGTGGTCCAACAATGGCATGACTGTTGTGAAGGTAATCAACCGCTCTCTGATTGGATGAGGCCTGCACCATAGTAAAAAACACATGCCTGGTAACATAAACTCAGTAAAAAAAAAAAAAAAAAAATGCCATGGCCGAGGAGGTCTTAGGCCCTAGAGGGAAACTCATTACTGTTGTTTAGCTTGTCATGGTGCCAAGCCTTCTCCTCAGTATCTATGTTCATACCTGTCATAGTTAGTCTTGATATAACCTACAGTCCTTTGAGAAGGGAGTCTCAATTGAGGGATTTCCCAGATCAGACGGATGGGACTATGAACATGCCTGTGAGGGTTTGTCCTGTGCTAACTAATTTAAGAGGGCCCAGCCCACTGTGGGTAGCACCCTTCCCTGAGCAGGTGGTCCTGGCTTGTATAAGGAAGCTAGCTATGCATGAGCTTGCCAGTGAACCTGCCAGTATCGATCACCATGGCTTCTGCTTTAGAGTTCCTACTCAAGTTCCTGCCCTGACTTTCCTCAGTGCAGTGATAGACTGTAACCTGTAAATTGAAGTAAAACCTTTCCTCTTCTAAGTTGCTTTTGGTCAGTGTTTTATTCAAGCAACAGAAATGAAACTAGATACCCACAGAAAAATGATGCTCCCAGTCTCACTCCAAGATGTTTGTCTTTGTAACTGACAGTGGAGAATACAGTGATTCATGGGTACTCAATGTGCTGAGAATAAGTAATGGTGCCTGGCCAGAAACAGGACATTTATGTTACCCCCTTAAAGGCTCAAGGAGCATTATGAAAGAGGCTAGAAAGAATGTGAAGGCCAGAAGACAGGGAGAAGGCCTGTGGAATGCTGTCTTCTGAATGACAGAACCAATGCAATCATGACCACACAGCACTGCGCTGGACCTTTAACAGGCCTGTCTGCAGTCAGTCATGGTTTGGGGAGGGGCTCACAGGGCCCCACCCTACTTGCTGATCTATGGGCTTACTGATGAACACTAGGGGAGGAGAAGACACCGTCTTTAGTAATATACCCACTGATAAGCCCACAAGGTTGTAATGATTCATTCTGAATCCAATGTCACACAGATGGCCCTGGTTAAACTCAGCAAGTCACAAAACAAAAATACGAGAATGTAGGAGAGAGACTTGTAGAGAGGAAAGGCAGTAAAGAAGGTAGGGAGGGATTCAGACAGCATGGGGAGTAACTAACCAAAATGCACTATGTACATGTATACAATTGTTAAAGAAACATTTCAATAACAGTTAAATAAGTAGGAAAAGTTGGAAAAGATGGATCACTTTATGCAATTAATTTTTCTAAAAAGGAATGAAGACTGCGGAGGAAGGCAGTGGAATGAAGAGGAGTTACAGCCTGCAACCAACAACAGGAATGATTGGAAATGCAGGAAGTAGAATGGGACCAGAAGTCCAGAGACAGTCTACAGAAAAAGACCTCCAAAAGGAGCCAGATCAATGAAGTAGGCAGGAAAGAACTTTAAATCATCTATTATAAATTTCAATTCCTCATACATAACACAGTTATAAAAAAAAAAAAGCATGGTCACAATGAATGGAGAAAAAACTCAATGGACGAAAAGTCAGACTTCATAGAAAACAAATGGCAACACAGTAATCGTAAATCTAGGTATGGTGCTGAAATTAAATATAAATTAAACCTAGCTTCGAAGATTAAGGTTCAGAGACTGAATAAAAATAGAACAGACCATTACTTTATTAGCTACATTATTTCATTTAGCAAATATCATGTAATAGTTCTTAACCCACTAGTTTATAATTTAAATTATTTAGAGTCACTACTGAGTATATTAATTATATACACATATATATTATACATTTGTTGACACATTTATTGTGTGTGTGCACATGTGTGTAGGCGAGAGGACAACCCTGGGTATCATGCTCAGGTGCCATATCCACTTGATTTTTACTGACAGGGAATTTGGTAGCCTGGCACACATCAAGTACGCAAGGCTGACTACCCCGGGGGTTCACCTGTCTCTCTCTCCAGCACTGGGATTCCAAATGTATGCCACTATGCCTTGCTTTTGTTATGTAGGTTCTGGAAATCAAATGCTGGTCCTCTTTATAGACTGATCGAGCTATCTCCACAGTCCTGCTGTCACATAAAAAAAAAAAAAAAAAAAAAAAAAAACTAGACACACAGCAAAACAGGAGATAATTATCTGAGTCTGACTTACTTTGGTGAACTCCAGTTTCATTGGCCCCTTTAGTCTTTGGTTATACTTTCCTTTTGGGTGTTTAAGGCTATTGAGTTGGCCCAGATAAACCAATTTATTTTTATTCTCAAGGTCATTTGAGGATCTGTTCCTCAGGGGTCACATGGGCTTGGGAGGAGCCCCTGGCTCCTTTCTTTTACCAGTTCTGCCTTTGTGAAGATAAGTCAAAGGTCCTGCTTGACCATGGCTGGCTTCGCTTGGAAGCATGGAGGAAATGATTCCTCTGTGTTGACCT